CTCCTGTTGTTCTTTTTCAGATCACTTGAAGGTTTTTTCCTGTTTATTATCCGGACATGCTGCGCACTGTGTGTTGATTTGACTGTCACATAAGGAATCTCCTACTGGGATCACTGATGCATTCCTTTCTCATATATGTGTGTATATATATATCTATCTCTGACAATGGCTCCTAGGCTATGGAAGAGAAATGTTGGTGATTAAACCAAAATTGGAATGAGCCACAGGTGTTAATGGGAGTTAAGTTTAATTATCCTTTCCCAGAAAACTTCCAACAGTGTGATGGGTATAGTCATAGTCATAAACAAAAATTCTCCTTAATTGACATAACAGGAAAGGTACTTCAGTGAGCAATTATGCTGATGTCCTGGACTGGCACATGTGTGTACCACAAATATATCTTGTACTTCCTGTAAAATTCTTTTAAGTAGCTATAAGGAAGACATTATTTTTTTTTATTTTTTTTTTTTGGTGGTTCACGAAAACGAATCACTTACTTAAGGCTCTTTTTGAGGAAAACAATGGAACAAAACAATGCTTTTTGTACAACCTGCCAAAGCACAAAGGATGCATGGGATGTTTTTTTTCTTTGTTGTTTTTGTCAGCAGGAAGTTTTGTTGTTGGAAACGAGTATAACATGCACTGTCCTTGCTCTATGTAATCACTCTGGTCCTGCAAGCCGGGTCTTGTTATTTGCCTCATCAAACTGGCACAGGCACCATTCTGCTTCACTCTGTGGGCTTTGTTCAGTGCTGAGTGTCCGCACACTTACTCTCCATCCGGACTGATGCACAGTAAACAAACTTCAGGAGCCGGGTGGTCCAATGACTGCTGGGTTCGCGCAGGTCAGGGCCCACGGCTAGAATGCTGACTTTGTGAATTGCCTCCTTTTTTTTTTTTTTTTCCTTAGACAGCTTAAAATCAGAGCGCTGTACAGCTTCGAAAAGTTTTCAGGTGTAAATATTCCTTTCCAAAACTCGACTTTGATGTGTTCGAGTCTGCTTTGTTTCCCTGTAGATTAGTTGTAAGTTTGCAACAGAGCCAGATCCGACTGAGTAAATCACTTGTGGAAGTTAATTGTTCACAGTGAAAGCTGGTCTGGCTCATTTTGCCTCCGTCGCAGGAAGAGACAGAGGTGGTGTGCTGGATCTGCATTCTAAACCAAGCATTGACGCGACTTTAATTTTGATCAGATGTCTCTCTTCAGGGCATTAAAGAAAACCTGCTCAGTAATCAAAAAGAGCCTCTTCTCTAGAGAAACGTAAGAAAAAAATTTTAATGCCTTTTACAGAAATAAAATACTAATATAAAATTTCAGCTTGGTCGAATTTCTTTTGCAGGCTATCATAAAAGAAACCTACTTCTCCATATTTGGCAGTCACCAGAATCAAAGAACGATTTTTTTTTTTTTTCCCCTGGAAAAAAGAATATAAAATTATTTGTAACGTCAGATATTGTATGATGGTAACTTTATATTCCAACTGTTTTTATTCACTGCTGCTGTGTTTAGATTAAGTTTGTGCCTTCTCTCCATCAACATTTTCAAATGCTTTTCAGAATCAGTTGTGTGCTTTGATTTCATTAAGTAACAGTCTTTTTTTATTCTCTTCTTAGGACTGAAGCTGTGAGAATGGAAACCACAAAGATTAATATGTCTCGCATACCGCTGGTTAATGGAGGCATCGACACTGCCATGCTCAAGGCACAGAAGCCCCGTGTTATGTCCAAAAGCGGTCACAGCAACGTGCGGATAGACAAAGTCGATGGCATTTACCTACTCTACCTTCAAGATTTGTGGACTACAGTAATAGACATGAAGTGGAGGTACAAACTCACCTTATTTGCTGCTACTTTTGTTATGACCTGGTTCCTCTTTGGAGTTATCTACTATGCCATTGCATTCCTTCATGGTGATTTAGAAATAAACAAGTTCACCCCAAAGCGTGAGCCGTGTGTCAAGAACGTAGACTCTCTGACTGGGGCGTTCCTCTTCTCCCTGGAGTCACAGACGACCATTGGCTATGGATTTCGTTTCATTACAGAGGAGTGTCCTCATGCCATTTTCTTACTTGTGGCGCAACTGGTAATCACCACCTTGATTGAAATCTTCATCACAGGTACCTTTCTGGCCAAAATTGCAAGACCTAAAAAAAGGGCAGAGACTATTAAGTTCAGCCACTGTGCTGTCATTACTAAACACAACGGAGAACTTTGCCTGGTGATCAGAGTAGCAAATATGAGGAAAAGCCTTCTGATACAGTGTCAGCTGTCTGGGAAGCTTCTTCAGACATATGAAACCAAGGAAGGGGAACGGATCCTGCTGAATCAAGCCAGTGTCAAGTTTAATGTTGACTCCTCTTCAGAGAGTCCATTTCTCATTTTGCCTTTAACCTTCTACCATATATTGGATGAAAGTAGCCCTTTGAGAGATCTCACACCTCAAAATCTCAAGGAGAAGGACTTTGAGCTTGTGGTGCTTCTGAACGCCACAGTGGAGTCCACCAGTGCTGTCTGCCAAAGCAGGACTTCCTACATCCCCGAGGAGATCCACTGGGGCTATGAGTTCGTGCCTGTGGTTTCACTCTCTCCAAATGGAAAGTACGTTGCAGATTTCAGTCAGTTTGAAAAGATAAGGAGAAGCACAGATTCTACTTTTTATAGTATGGACTCTGAAAAACAAAAATTAGAGGAGAAATACAGGCAGGAGGATCAAAGAGAGAGGGAACTGAGAACGATGTTGTTACAGCAAAGCAATGTTTGAATGGACAAACTATTTTGATTAATCCTTTTTGCAAACTGAAAAAACATACTTTCTGTGCTGTATGTCTGCTATTAAACCAGCAGTGAAGTTCTTCTCAGCAAATAGCTTTGGTGTAGAGTAAACCTATCCCTTTTTTCGGCCAAATTATTAATCAAGTATTTTGTAATTAGGCAGGATTTCTTTGTTCATGATCTTGACTTAGCAAAGTTGGATTTGTATTAAGTCTCTGCCTTGTACTACCACTAAAAGCAGACACACCACTTTCCGTTTGGAAAGTGAAACTGGATGCACTGTGCTGATTCCTTCAAATATTTATTTGACGTTGTTTTACTGTGACGATGCATTCACAGAGACAGCACTGCTAGAAGAAAATATGCTCCTTTAAAATATGTATATTTAACATGTATATTCTCGTACCAGGTATTGCCTTTGTGGGGATTCCTGGTCCTGAAAGTAAGTTGATTGGAGAGACAAATGGTTGGATGTGGGAAGAGCCTGCAGGGAAGTGGTAAACTCCTTCTTAAATCTTGAAGGAGGGTGACAGAGTAGTTGTGCTGGGTGCTGGGAGCTTGCTCCCTGTCTCTGCTATTCAGAGCTTGTTTTGTGGTCACTCACTTTTTTAACCTTTTTAATGCCTGATTTATATATAATAGCAAAAAGGGGAGATGAGGGCAAGCTACACAGAATCATAGCAGTAATCAACTAAGGTTAAAGCTGGCTTTGAGACACTTGTTTTTTGTCCAATGTAAATAGTTTGTAATAGCAGCATAACAATACATTTCTACAGATTGCTTGCTTTGCTATGGACCGTATTTAATTTTGGTTAAAAGAAACCTGTATTATGTCTATAGACAACATTTACTTTTTCTGGCAACCATAAAGGACAAGCATTCCTTTTATCAATTTAATTTTTGGTCTTTTAAAACCATTCCATTAATAAAGGAATTTAATTTGAGCAGATCCTGATCTCTTTGTGGCACGGGGAGAGGGTGCGGTACCTCAGAGATGTTGAAAGAGCCGAGTGCTTGGCATAGGCAGTGGCATCCAGCTCACAACCTGGGGACCCAGGAGATTGCTAAAGCAGTCAGATTATTGGTAGTGAACCAGGGAGCAATGATGTCTACGTAGCATGCTTATTATATGTGGGTCAGCTTTTAAATGGGCCTTAGAAATTATTTCTGACTCATATCACTTTGGCAGCTTTCTGACTTCTAGAGATTTTGCTTCTCTAAACCTTTGGCAAGGAAAAGCTGTATTAAGGTTGAGTTTTGCGTCTGTGGGCCAGATCTTGACCTGAGAGCCACCAAGGTCTGCAGTGATAAAAAGACTTTTGGCACCTTTAACTTACTGTTATTGTGTTTAGCTTCCCAGAACCATGTGGCCCAGTGGAATGCAATCCAGCAGTCTGCCATAAAATATTCTATACAATAAATCAATCTAGCTTGGTGCCTAAAGAGGCATGCAGCAAGCTGAGTGCAGAGATGGCCATGGCACCAAGAACAAATGTCAAGAAGAAGGGAGCACACACTATGGGGGGTGGGAATGGTAAGGAGGTGCATGAGGGGCTTAAAACCGCTCATTTATGTAAATGGTTAGCTCTCCTGTGTGAGAAGGCAGAGATCCAAGAATCTGTTTGGAGACAGGGACCTAATTTAATCCAAGAAGGTTCCCTACCCACTACAAGGTTTCTCAAATCATTGTAATTGCAGGAGTCACCTAGCATTTTTGGGAAGATTTCCCAGGTGGTACTATGCTGTGTTGTCACAGAGGTTTTCATTTGCAGCCACATAGAGAGGATGTCAATGTTTAAATTATTGATTGTTAACTTTCAATTTTCCCTCATTTTCTCTGCTTGCTTGTTTCATTGCAAGGAAGCATGTGTGCTCCATGAATTTTTGCAGTCACTTTGTAGACCTGACATCCATGTCCTACAACTCAAAGAACACTGCTTTGGCGTGCTGGGCTGAAAGTGCCAGGTGTCTTAATCCTTCTTCTGTCAAGCCTTAGCCTCCATGTGTTGATAATCAAACATACACTCCGATTCTTTCTTATCTGGGTAAGGGCTCTGATCATTCCTAAAGGCATTGTCTCAGCTGTGTATTGACTGTAGAACAGTTTCATCAACTACAAGTGAGCTAATTCTTCTCCAGAAATTCTTCTCCAGAAATACCTGACAATGAAATGAACCCCTTCCTTCCATTCCCCTCCCATCCCTGCAAATAAGGAGAGACATGCCAAATTCTATCTTTGAGGTGAGCTCTCCATCCATTTCAATAAACTTCTTTGTTATTGCACTTTCTTCCTTGTATCTTAAGAAATCCTAGTGTGTTGAGCCCTGTGAAGGACACATGTGCCAAGTCCCAATGGGTCTACATATTTCTTGAATGTCGGATCTAGGAAGTCCTATGGGTACACAGCTGCAGCAATGTGCTTGTGGGTGGACTTTTGTGGCAACCATTTAGGAGCCCAGAGACCAGGCTGCTCCAGGCTTTGACAGCTGATGAGGAGTACTTTTTTAGGATCTTCATTTTGGGAGCTAAGAAAGCAGGTAGGGACTTAAGTCTCTGTGTACACTAATTCCAGGGTTCAGTCGCTATGTTCACTAGGCCATTCCAGTCATTAGGCTATCCTGAAGGGAAAACATCATAAGGGAAAGCCTTGGAAAGAAAAAATGCATCACATAAATTATTTTTTCTGAACCTTCAGTCTTACAAGGAAGGAGAGGAGAGGAGACTAGAAATCTTTGGCAAAGTCAAAGCAAACCTTCATCAGCTAGTAAGAGGCTGTACAGTAGTATTATATACATACATTAGTATAATAGATAATGGACTGCTATTCATTCCTTCCAGATTCATACAGTCTGGACTTTTCCTTCTTGCTTTCGTACAAGCTTAACTTCCATTGCTCCCTCTGCAAGTTAAGAAAAGCAGAAGTGGCCTTGGCGCAGCATGTTTAGCTGCAGAGTAGTGAACCGCAGTGGAAAAATGTCATGACATGTGCATCTGATATGAATCACTGGCAAACCACAACCTCTCAGCCCTTGTGGTCAGATCTTCTGGTTGTGTAAACACAGCTCTGGTGATTTACCTCAGCTGAGGACTGACAGGATGGAGAACTGGAAAGCAAAACTCCCATGACCATCCCAAAGCTGCCTTACCTATAAGTAAAGACTGTTGTGTCTGCATGGTGATTGAGGGCGTGAGAACCTTCTTGTCTGCCAACTGCTTGTCCTGAGGGTGTCGGGGCAGGGCATCCACAGCTCCAGCAGGTCATACCCCTACACAGCCCACAGTAGCACCTTCTCATTCCCCTCCCTGCCCCACAAATGGAAGATACTACTTTGGGAGCAATTGAGTTGGATAATTATACTAGTCTCTAAAATGTACTGACTGACTCTATGAAAAAATCTGAATTAAATCCGAATTTAAAATTTTAGGCACTAAAGGAAGCAGTGGAGCCCCATGTCCCTGTGTACACTAAGTGAATGAGTACGTCTATCAAGTAAATCCTCCATTCCAGTCACTAGGTCATTCAGAAGAAAATAGTCATGGTAAATTAAAATAGATTTTTTAAATTTCCTGAGGAGTACAACATATTTATCTTTCTTTTATTCATGAGTTATCAGCGAACAGAAAATTTTTAGAGTCATTTTAAGTATTTGAACTTGTACAGCATTTAGCTGAATAGGAACTCATTTCAGCTCATGGACTGTTTCTGAACTATTTGTTATGACTTTGACTTCAATATTCTTTTTTTTTTCCTCTTTTTAAATTTTTTTCTGTGGAAGTAGGTGATTGAAGAAGCATAATTTCACTTCATTTGCTTCCTTGCAATGACTTAGAAAGGGAGGAAATGAACCCTCAGAGACTGCAGGCTGACTGTGCCAGAGTCAGTTCTACCATCCTTCACAAATGTTTCACTTAATCTTCCAAACTGATGACAATGTTTGTGGAAAGCCAATAATTTGACAGGGGAGCATAGTGGTCTCCAGAAAAATGTAGTTCTCTAATTTTCTGCATGGAGGTAGGAGGCCAAATAGCCCACTAGGTCTAAAAGACACTGGGCAAGGGGGAAGGGATGGAGAGTGGAAAAACAGAGAGAAAAACCCACTCATGGACACTTACCCATATCACCAAACATTTGCCACTTCCATAGAATGCCAGGTTAAAAAAAAAACAAACAACAAATTCTCTCAGTTTTGCTGAGATGACTCAAAGGACTGGGAAAAGTGAATGCAAGTTCTGTATTTGAACAAATGTTCCTGAGGACTTCTGAATGTGTTTGCTCAGTGTTAGTCTGATGACAGCCTGATCCTGAAAGAGAACAGGTAAGACTCTGTGATGACTCTAGTAAATCTGTGATGGAGAGAAGCTTAAAAAACATAGTGTATGCTCTAGCTCTTGCTTATTCATTGCTAATACTCTGTTTGGCTGCAAAGCAGTCGTGTCCTGGTCACCCTCATGTTGTTGGCATTACATGAATAAAGGAATGTTACCCTGACATGCCTGCTCAGCCCTCAGCAGATACTCTGTGCAAATATTAGATTACCAGAACGGAGCTCTTTTAATGCAATAGGTACTGATTGAACATCCTGTATCTAAATGACCTGAAAGAGCTGTTGGAACATTTCCAGGACGTCACATATTCCCTGAGCAGAGACTGTTCAGAGCTGCCCTGTCCTGTGTCAGCACACAGTACACACAGCAAAACAACATAATTCCACAAGTAGCACAACATACATATGTTTTTTGCATCTACCCTTAACAATAAATTCCAGAATGGTCACTGTGCACCTCACCATATTGCATGGCTGTTAAATTCATTCCTTCTTTTCTATCCCTTGTAAATGTTTATCCAGACAAAATACAACATAGTGACTGACATTAGCGGTACTGAGAGGAGGAAAGTGTTTAAGCACATAGGATTTATGACTCTGACAGACACATTGCCATGAATCTTTCACAGGGGAAAAGACTTTACTGCTCTACCTGCCTGCTCGTCTCTTTTGCCCAAGATCAGCATCCTCAGGACCAACAGCGGAATGGAGAATTCCTTGGCATTACCAAGGCTCCAGCTGAGATTCAAATACGTGACAGGCTCTGATGAAACCAAAACCAGGTCATGGAGGTCAGTTAGTGCTAAGATCCCGCACTGTGAGTGCAAGACGTGTGTTACGTCCTGCTGACTTTCATGCAGAGCAGAAGTGTCCAATGAGGGCAGCAACATAAAGCTGTCTTCAGTTACCTTCACTGCATATCTGCTTTCTCTTGGGAACATGCCAGCCTCAAACTAAAATGCAGTGAGTCTGAATTGCTATACATTAAAAAGGGCTGAGGTGCCTGAAGAAAATACTTAACAGAGGTCAGATGGTTCCAGTACTCATTGATGGTCTTTGCAGTACAATTTTTTCACCTCCCATGGACCTATTTCAACGTCTTTCCCCTTCTACTGCTTATATTAAGCACCCAGTTGTCTAATGTTGGTTAGGATAATAATTTATCTATCTTTCCTTTGCAACAAAGATATACACTTGAATCATAAGCAGAGTAAAATTTCACTTAACAACTGCGGTTAAACAACAATTTTCAAGTTAAGGAATTGTTATTCATTCTTTACCCAATGAAATTGGTAAAATGGTCTGTGAAATGTACCCTTTGCTGTGCTCCAAAATAAGAAACATCTCAAAATAAATATCAGTGCCCAAGATCTGGAATTAATTAGGTGATTCATACGAAATGGCCAATCTTGCTATTTATTGGAAAAAACCAGATTGTTATTTTCAGAATAAAGTATCTTAAATGCTAATCCTAATGGTAGACAAAGCTTGGAAAGAACAGTCTACCATAGTAACCTATGGAAGAAGCTTGTTGTAAGTCAGGACAGTTTTTCATTATAAAACTACAGATGTAGAACTGCTTTCCTGTGACAAACAAACGTTTAGGCAATGCTCATTTC